AGTCACCCATTAAAATAATGACAATTTTTAACAATCACCCTTTAAATAAGTGCCTTTCTTCTCTTTTCCTACTTAAAAAAAAGTCAAGGAGAAGGAATCCGAGGGACAGTATATTAATTCCATAGTGTGCCAAGTTCTTTGGAAACTTGCTGAAAAGCTCTCTAGAAATGTCAGTTATATTAGTTTGCTGAATGCTTTCAAAATATCTGATTAAAACAGATCATAAAGATAAGAAATAGTTCATATTGTTGCCTTTATGACTACAGTATATTAAAGTCCAAAGGTTTTACAATAATTTCATGGGATGTGAATAAACACAGCCAGCCAAGCTGAACTCAATTGAGTAAATTACTGTATTTATTCAAGCCCATTTTAACATAGGTCCTGATTTTCTTTTCTAAACCATGGTAAGAGAAAAGAAATTTTAGGACTAGTCCCATCAATATACACATGAGCAAAGCTAAACCAGAAGTGGGATAGTCCCAGCAATGATCTCAAATGATCTCTGTATCAAATTAAATCAGATCTCAATGATCTCTGTATCAAATTAAATAACAGCTGGTTTGGTTATAGAACGTTAACAAGTAAGTTCTGTATGGATGTCATGGTATAAATGTATTCCTTTCTCCCAAACTTTTCTGAGTAAGATGTACTTGTTAGTAGCCTGTAGATCATGTTCAAAGATTGCTACAAAATCTTTAAACATTCAAAAAAGAATCTGTTTTCTTAAAATAAGGGTTTTTTTTTATTTGTTTGACTCTTTTGTGTTCACTTTATGACTTGTACAGTAGTAGTGCCCAGAGAAGTGTCAGAATTGAGATATGATGCTAAGTATTATGCAAGCATGCAGGTAGACATGGTTTTTGCCTCGCAGAAATAGTCTAGTTCTGCTAAACTCTCTGTTTGATTAGGGAAAGCAAAATTATGTAAGTATTATTTGCTGATAAGAGAAAGTTTAATCACATTCACTGGGGATGAAAGAAGCGTGGGAATTCTTTTCTGAAAAGGGCAGATAATGAAAAATGTATGTAATTTAAGATTCATTGCTCTTCTGCAATTGTTTCAGCCTATTGATGAAATAACTGAAAACAATATTTTAGATTGACCATAAGGTTGCAGCAGCATAAAGCTGTCTTTTGCAATGTGTAGTGAATGATAACACACTAACTGCTCAGCTTGTGAATGAGCTATTTTTATTACTAAAGCCTGCAAACAAAACCTCTGTTTCTGCAGCAGCATGAAAAGACTGTTTTCAGTATCAAAATAACAGAACCATATATTAAAATTCTCTAAAGGTCTATTTCAGCAATCACTGTCCCGGCTTGACTTAAACTGGTTCAGTAACTGAAGAATAATTGCACTTTAATAAAAGGTTTTGGAAAACCAACATGAGAAGCAGTTACACATATTAAGCATTCACTGTCTGCTTGACAGATTTACTGACAGTAGGAAGGTTAAATTTGCATCTACAGAACTACTATGAAAAAGTTTAAGTGTGAATCCTTGAGCAATAAGCAATTTCTGTGCATACATATTCTAGAAAATATACAATTAAGTAAGCAATATTATCGTCTGGTTTCAGTCATTCAGTGTATAACTGTAACTACAGCAACTCCCTATTTGGTAAAAGGCAGGATATGACAAGGTTCTTCCAACCTGAAACTCTGCCAAAATGTGACCACAATTTCACTAGCTTAATCAAGTGCCATAGTGTTGAATATATTGGAAACCTTAACTGACATGCTAGCACTCAATCTCACTGGAACTGCAGATGCAGTTCTACAGACACTAGTACCAACTTTGTTGTAAATAGCACTACAGTTTTCTATCCATTTTATAGTCCATTAATCCAATCCATACCTCCTTAGCTTGCTTGCGAGAATGTTGAGAGAACCATATCAAAAGCCTTGCTAAAGTCAAGGTATATCATGTCCACTAGTCCCTCTGCATCCACAGAATCAATCATCTCATCATAGAAGGTGATCAGGTTGGTTAGGTATAACTTGCCCTTGGTGAATCCCTGCTGACTGTTCCTAATCACCTTTTTCTCTTCCAAGTGCTTAGAAATAGATTCCTTGAGGATCTACTCCATGATTTTTCCAGGGACTGAGGTGAGGCTGATCAGTCTGTAGTTCCTTGGATCCTCTTTCTTCTCTTTCTTAAGGATGGTGTAACAAGTGGGTGTCCCAGGGCTCTTTGAATCATTGACCTGCCCACTTGTCTCAGGGCTAACCGCCCACCTACCATGCCTTTGATGAATCCAATGTAAAGTTTACAACAAAGCAGGAGGCTGCCCATTTACTTGCCCTGATGCCAAGGGCCTATACATGGCTCCGAAGCTCCCCTTATACCATGTCCCATGCCTCGCAGACGGCATCCTTGGCCTAACACTCAGCCTTAGCATACATGGCCTAACACCTGACCTATAATACAGAGTCCTCACTCTAGGACCCGTATTCCAATGCCTTATGTTGGGACTCTCACAATCCCTGTGCCCTTACACTGGGTTCACAATCTGATTTACTCAGGGCTCCCTGCCTGGTTTGGTATCTTCTTGGTCCCCTGCTGCCCCAACACTAGGCCTCAACCCCCTGCCCAACACTGGGCCTTAATCCCCTCGCCCGACACTGGGATTCAATCCCCTTGCCCCAGGAGCTTTACACCCAGCTCCTTCATGGGCTCAGGGCCCCACACCCCTGGATCCTCACACCCAGCTCCTTCATACACTTCAGGACTCACTGTGAACCTGGGCTCTGCCTTAGGTCCCTTCACACGACCTGGGCCCTGCCTCAGGCTGCACTGTAAGCCTAGGCCCTTGCTTTGTCTTTGGGGTTTGCTCTCCTAGTCTTTCTCCTCCCACAAGGCAGCGGGGGTTGAGGCTTTCTGGAGCACCATACGTGCCCTTCACTGGGGAGGCACAGGTGTGGTATTCCTGAGGACTGCCCCGCCACTGGCAATCCCACCATACCATCCAAACCCAGCAGGGTGTAGTTTTACGTCATGCCCCAGGACCAGGAAACTCCAGCCACCCCCATAGTTTCTTCCCTGTACCTCCAAGATGTTACATGAGCAGCAGGGAGATGTTCTCCCCTTGGCTGCTAGAAGCAAACTGCTGGCTCCACAGCTGAGAGTGTACTTTTATCCCAAACAGCTGGGCCCTGTTCCCAATCAGGTAGTTGTGCTTGATTGGGAGTGCAGCCACCTAAAGGCTGCTCTGCTGCATGCCCATGCCCCTGCGTGTAACAGAGCACAACCTGTGCTCTGTTACAGTTGGGCATTATATTTGCTTTTTTCCAACCATCTGGGACCTCTCCCGATCACCATGAGTTTTCAAAGATAATGGCCAGTGGCTCTGCAATCACATCATTCAATTCTCTCAGAACCCTCAAGTACAACCCGTCCATCCCCATTAACTTGTACACATGCAGTTTTTCTAAATAGTCCCTATCCTGTTCTTTTGCCACTGAGTGCTGCTCACCTCCTCCCCAAACTGTACTGCCAGGTGCAGTTGTCTGGGAGCTGACCTCCCAGTCTGGAAGTTGACAATACTCTCTTATTGTGGGTGGTGTCACATGGTAGGGCAAGTCCAATACCAGGCTGATCCTCATTTGTGGGGGCAATATAAATTATATTAATACTGGGACTATTCTAAATGTCGATAGTAAAGAATAGTCATAGGATCAAGGAAGCACATATGAGAGCTTTAAGCTTTTTATCCTTGACATATGCAGGTCAGCCATGCCCCTGGCCCCAACCCTGCATAAGGGCACTTATTTATCCATTGATTGAAAGCGAGAGACACCATAATATAGAGCACATGGAATCAAATGTTTGTGTATTTTCCACTAGAAAAACAAACCATCGAAAAGACAAAAATCTACATTAGACCATGTATGTAACACTACAGTACAAGCTAAATTTAGCAACTATATAATAAAAAACATTGGCAGAATATAAACATATCAGAAAAGTTGGAGTTTTCTGAATTGTCAGTGATTCAAGTGTATACAACATTTAACAGATAAATTTTTATTTTATGCAAAACAGAATGACTGAACATGATTTTGAATCATCAGCTATGAATGTTTTTTCAGTGGAAGCGACATGGATCAGTTTACTAGTAGGAAGCTTATCCAGGTTTGTAAAAACACAAAATGAACTATTTCTACACTGCTGAGAGCACACAGGCTGTACATCAGAGGTCAGAGAGTCTATTTGTTCTTTTCCCAGTTGTAAAATATACTTATATCATTTGGATTCCAGGGTGCTCAATCTGCTAGCAGACTAAAGATACTGATAGAAGAATGGATTGGAACCTCTTTGGAGTCCAAGATCTCTATTTGTTTCTTCATCTAAAAGCTGTTATTATCTTTAATAGTGCTATTTGTGAGCTTGGGGGAGTTTTTTTTTTTATTTTTGCCCTTGTAACTTTATAGCCATCATTTATATTGACAAAAAAATGTTTTATTTTCCTATATATGTGTCTATACATATAATAATCTTTATTATAAGACTATCCTAAGATTCACATTGTAATTTAGAAGTTCTTTGACATTCATTCCTTATCACAAATATTTCCATTCTACTCACTAGCTAGCCACAATATCTCACCCACAAACCATTTTCTAGTTGACTCCTCTGTTCTTAGTAAGCTTTCAATATTTTCTCTTACCCCTGCTTTTCAAAGACCATTAAACATAGCCTCGCTATTCCAGTTATCCACTATGATCAAGATATCACAACATGATTGTGTTATTGGAGGGCTGGGGGAGAGGGAGAATTTTTTTTTTTTTTTTTTAAAGAGAGATTACTAGTCGGAGCTACAATCCTCAAAATGATCATAAACTTGGATCTTTCCACATAGCTAGTATTTACATCTGGTTAAGAGTTACTGCATGCAAAAAGAGTCTCTGGTCTCCAACAGAACCAATACATGGTATGGGAGAAGAAAAGTTCATAATAAAAAAACACAGTATACTTTAAAAATACAAGTACTATACCTGCATAGGATCTGGAATGCAAGACAAAACTCTTTCTATATTTTCAGAATTCACATCAACGTCATTTACAGCAATAAGGGCATCTCCTGGAGGCAAAAAAGCCATAGAAGTAACAGATTTAAAAAGGTATGTTCAGACATAATACACAAATCAACAATGTTCTTTTAAAATTGAAAATGCACCCTAAGCTCTAAGATCTACCCTAAGACAACTATAGACACCTCAGTCTAACACCAATAGTATCAAAGTTTTTGAAACAAAATTTAAAATAAAGTAATTCAAAGCATAGAGATCAATGTAAATCAGGATAATCACTGTGGAATTGCTAAAAGTGTATTGTACCAGACCAACCTGACATACCTCTTTGGTAACAGGCATTTAGGGAAAGGAAATGTGACACACAATCTATTCAGGATTCACTGTAACTTCTGGTTGAGTATCTTGTATAGGAAATTAATTAAAAGTCGCAAAGATGGGGAAAAGTAAAAGAATTGCAGGTTCAGTAAAGGACTGGCCAATAGGGAAAAAACAATCATTGTTCTTAAAAGAAAATAACTGGTTTGGAGGAAGGATGCCAACAGTTCTGAAAGAATCAGTCTTGGAACCAATCTTATTTAATATTTTCATTTATGATCTTGCCACAAAAATTATGGACACACTAATGAAATTTTCTGACAAAGTTTGGAAGCATAAGTAGTATAAAAGAAAAATGGAGAAAAAGAAATGAAATGAAATGTAATAGTACAAAGTGCACTGATAAATATCTACTTGGGAGCTCATCAGCTGAAAATGACAGAGAAGGAAAAAGATGTGTGTTAATCATCTCGACTGTGAGCCACTGTTGTGATCTGGCTGTGATTGAACAAGACAGAGTGCTAGGATACATCGAGAAAAATATTTCCACTAGGAAACTATGAATATTCTTTTAACGAGGCACTGGTGAGACCTCATTAAGGAGCTATGTATAATTCTGGCTGCCTGGGTGCAAGAAAAATTAATTCAAATTAGTTCAGGCATATGGAAAAACTATTGGTATGATCATGTGGAGAAGCTCTCTCACAAGAGAAGACTAAAAGGGCTTGGCTTGTTTAGTCCACCAAAATAAAGCTGAGAGTCAGGGAGATTGTTTTGGAGAAAATATTGGGAATGGAGTAGGCTATTTAAGTTAAAGGATAACACTAGCACTAGAACAAATGGATACGAACTAGCCATGAATAAATTTATGCTGGAAATTGGAATAAAAATATCTAACCAGAAGACAGATATTCTGGAAAAGACTTCCAATACAAGCACTGACAATAAAAAAACAAACAAACTAGGTTTAAAATGGAGCACAGAGTTAACAACCGGAATGATAAGAAGTATTTAATTGAGATGGGTGACTAGACTTGATGATCCAGGAGGTTCCTTCTAGTCATATATGCTTAATATCCTTCCCATCAGAGACAGATACTTAGTCAAATAAAAAAAAAGTTCAGTTCCATAAAGTGTGTTGATTACTAGCTCATTCCTGTAAAAAACAAAACAAAACAAAACAAAACAAACAACCCCCCCCCCCCCCCCCTCCCAGGAAAGACAATTTTACCAAATTATGTATACCAGTCTCTACTGGTATACATAAGTATACCAGTAGAGTATACTTATACTATACCAGTAGTATAAGTACTTTGATACCACGGTAATATGTGCACTACCCAGGGCCAATTGATTTAAATTGAGTTGATTTAAATCAGGAAACCAAAAGCCTGATTTACATAACTGATTTTAATCAATTTTGTGTGTGTGCATGTGCGTATTATTTTTTAAAGAAAGGTTTATTTTCATTGGTTGATATGACAACTAAAACATGTTGCTTTACAAAGAAATATAGTTTTTACAGTAGATTTGTACCTATGTTTCCTAGGTACACAAATTGTGTGTGCGCATGTGTGTAATGTAGCTTAACATATATGGATTGTTAGAAATTCTACATTTTAGTATGTTATAAAATGCTGAAATACATATTATTCACTAGATTAACTTTTCTCTCATATTTATATCAAGCTACATTAAGATGGCAACTTGAATTTAAGAAACACAAAACCAGCACTTCAAATTTATTAAACAAAACTTTAATGTTTAGATACAGAAACTTTTTTTAAATCAAAACATGGTGCTCATTTACAACTGGTTGGTCACATCTACACATGCCATTAGAAGGCAACAATAAACTGCAGAGCTTATTGATCTGCAGTTTATAGTTCCTAGGAAGCTTCCGGGGATGCAGTTTACACGTGCACCTTGACTGCAGCACATTGAGATGCACTGCATCAACCCCAGCTGGCAGGTGGTCCAGGGAGTTGCAGAGGGGCTGGCTGGGGCACAAGGGTGTTTCAGCATGGGACTAGGCAGCAGGCAACCCCAGCACTGAAGCACCCGTGTGCCCCAGCCAGCCAATCAGTGTCTACACATGAGTTGCTGCACACGAAAAAGTTCTACAGGATAGGACTTGTATTTACAGTATTTACAGTATATAGGACTTGTATTTACAAGTCCTACCCTGCTGCAGAGTTTATTACTTTTGTGCATCCTAACAGAGGCACACATGTAGTGCTGACATGTTTACTATGTACTTAATCAGTCAACTGTACAGTAAATGTCTTGTGTAGACGTGCCCACTAATTTATTAAATACAGTAAAATCACTGTTATCTAGCATCCCCGGGGTAAGGAGATTGCTGGTTATGGAAAAACTACAGTTATCCAAAATAACCCGGCAGGGTTTTCTGATAATGTGGAGCTGTGTGTGGGGGAGGGGGGGGGGGGGGGGGGTAACAGTGGCCGCACGCAGAGCAGCAGCAGCTGCAGAGTGCAGCACAGAGCGGCACTCGGCGCAGGGCAGTGGATACGGAGTGGCTGTGCAAACTCTGCCCACCCCCGCCCCGGTCTGCCTGGCGGAGCAGGTGGAGGGAATAACGCGGAATAATGGCAGCGCCGGGGGGGGGGGGGGCCGGGCGGCCGGCGGGGGCAGGGTGGTGTGTGGCAGCAGCAGCTGCCGTACGCAAACTTTCCCCCACCCCCTCCCCACATCCAGCTAACTGGCTGGAAATTCCAGTTAGTAAAGTATTCCAGTTATTTAAATACCTAATAGCAGAGATTTTATTGTATTGGTATTAACTGTTGCAGTATTAAAAGTATGAACCATGGTTAGTCAACTGAGTCAGGTTTTTCAGATCACCCTGGAGCAAATTATTTAAAATGCCTAGGTGAAAGTCATTTAAACTTAAGTTCCTACTTGCCTAATTCTCTTTAAAAACGAGGCAGTCATTTTTTTACCTAGGCTGTTTAGAAATGTTTTACCCCATTTCTCTCAAGTTTTTAGAACTCACAAATCTCCTCTTCCTCCCCATTTTTATTCATCGACTGCAAGAGAAAAAACAAGCTTTCCTGGTTTTTTTCAAATCCCTATTGATTTCTCAGCTTTGCATGAATCAGCCCAAATGAAGAAAATATTCTCTCTTTCTGCACATGCAGAAGAGGCTACTGCTGGTAAAAGCTGGTTCAGCACTTCAACAAACTCTGGTTCCAGGTGCTTTGCTAGTAACGTCCACTGTTCAGTGGTGTGACTTTCTTGAAAATACCCTCAGCAAACATGTACTGCTTCAATGTTCACCTCTAGCTCTGAAATTTATTATATTTAGCATAATTGATGGGTGATTAGTAGATGCCCATGTCAGAGCTGCGTTTTCCTTTTTGGCAATTAGGCATCTACCCTGGTATTTTGTAGTAAGACTATTGGGAAGAAAATGAGATGGAGTAAGTACTTGATCCACCTGCTTCTTAACTGCCTGCAATTTAACTTTGCTGTTGGACCTGCTTAAAGTTTCTTTAAGTTCTTCCAAAAGTGCAACAGCACCTGCAATACAGCAGCAATCTTTCTGTAGTTTATCCAAGGTGATAGAAATAGGGTTTAGTATATTCAGTATATTCATAATATCTTCTATATTTCCCTTTAATCCAATGTTACTATTCTAGCCATGATATTTCTATCAATTTTGTTATGATTGTCTTCACAGATGTTCACCAGGATAGCCCAGTTCTTAATAAATAGCTCAAAACAGTCAACCACTGAATTCCATCATATACCTTGGGGGAGAATTAGACTGGATCCCCCAGTGTCTGCTTCTCTGTACATATGTGAAGGGACCAAAATGTCCATTTAACTGACGTACCAAGAACGCATCAGAAGCAATGGGTTGGTAGTTACTGAGCAGATGGTTGTTCTACCATGAAATTAAGAATAAGACTCCATTATGGGTACAGAATCATAAGTATTCATAATTTGAAAATAATCAAAGCTTGGATAGAATAAAACAGGAGTTTGATACCATACAGGATGGCTCAGTGGATAATCCTGATCAAAGAGTACACATGATAGTTTCTGCTAGAGTCAGAGGCCAGGTTCTAACTACTGTGATATCGTTGCTGATTCTCTGCATCCAGTGGTATAGACCTTACAACCCTTGCAGGATCAAGCCCCTAATACATGAAATATCATGCCATATTTCTGAAGCTTTACCTCAGAATTTAGATATTTTCCCCCTCGTTGTTAGGAAAAAAAAAAAAATCAGTGTTCAATTCCAGAAGTTTCAGTAGAGGCTCAATGACTCAACATATTGCTTTATTTAAATGATTTTTAATAGAGTATACTAAATCTATACCACAGCCTATGTTGTATTAAATTCAAATGTCATTTTAAGATGGTTTATTTTTTTAAAGGAAAACTTAAAATTATAATTTAAAGTCCCATTTAAATTTTAAAACGTCTCATTTAAATTTTAGAAGTGGAGTTTTTAATTTTTTTAAATCGTTAAATTTTTATCCACCCTGGCACCACCCAAATACTCAAACCATTATGAAGATTTAGTCTAACATTTCTATCAAAATAATAATTAAACCAGAGATTAATTCTAGCATTCAACCCCATGGCTACTAGTTGAACTAGAAGTTCTCTTTTAGGGAAATACCAAATGTCCATTCCAAGACCAGATGGCCCATCAAGGTAGCGTGGCTCAGGTACCCGAACTGCTGTAACAAATAGCATACGA